AATACAAATAAGTTTTTCTCAAGCATTCTTCCATGACGGCGATTGTAGAGTTATTAATGTTTCTGGTTGGTTAATTTGGAACCGCAGCGAAACAGCTTCACAATTCTAATGGAAAATGCACGCCGAACTCAAATATATTTTCCAACTTTCCTACAATCAGAAAAAGCGAATCGCAAGCAAAAATTACGTAGCGATATTATTGATTGGATTCAACGCCATGCCGGAGGATGGTCTACTTAGTCGTATGCGAATACACAAAGAAAGCAATTTGTTACTAGTTTGACTGAAACTATTTGGTATATCGATATACATGACTACCAGAAATTCGAAAGTCGTAGTTATCACATACCCGAGCTTTTTATCGAGTTTTTTGATCGTGCAAATCCAGAATCATATAAGCAATCACAAAAATCCTTTGACGCAAACGAATTAAATTTACATTGCCAAGCCCTTGCCCCATATGCTACTTTATCGTAAATTCTAAAAGATAATTTTAATTGGCTTCACGACTCACTTGATAAATTCATTGTTACTATTTTGAACTATGTAGGATTTTTGCAACAACAGCGTGAAGTTACTGCTACGAACCTAGCATCGAAAACACCTATAAGGACAGTTGATCAGGCCATAACAGTAAAAATTCATAAGAGAAATTTCTGGGTAACGCCTGTGAACAAGGCTAAATATTATCATCTTGAACAGTTACTCAATGATTTACCATCATGAAAACCAGTTGACCTTGAAGGATTCCTCCCAACTGATCCTGTGTATGTAAAAATAAAATTATGGTAGTTAATGCTAAAATTTGAAATTATAAATTCAAACTGTTAATAAGAATATAAATTTGTTTTAAATATTCAATCAAAAAACTCCAAATAGGTATCGCAAATAGAGATGCATCGGTCCTGTGAGACTGTTTGTAAGAACTGTTCAGACTGATGCATCCCTAGTCGTGAAGGGAAAACCAAACTATGAGCTTTTAAATTTAAAATTTACCAGACTTAATCTCTAAAAAATAAAGTTAAAAGCCTGAAGACTGGTTTTCTCTTGGCGATACTCAAATTTCATTATAAACTACCAAATAATAATCAAAATATTTAGTATAAAAACCAATAAATATTTCTTGTTACAGACAAAGAATGTGTTATATACAGGGTTTATCTTGCATATTTTTCTTTAAAATTAGTGAATATCGGTTCAATACAGGTAATAATGTTTTTAATGCAATTTCAATATGGAAAGTTGATAAGGAGGCTGATGAAGAGGAAACTTTGCAAGAGAATAAATGAATAATAAGCGAATTGCAGGAAGATGCCCCTTGCTACCACACATGAGCGATGCGAATAAATTATATACATATTTGTGACTTACTTCTGCCAAAAGCCAAGCCATCATCATTTCAGGCAATCTACAGAATGCTAACTGGAGACACCTTTGCAGCTGATACCACAAATCAAGCTAAGGTTGATGAGCGTATAAGAATTGCTCTGGACCTTGGTGACCCAGAAATTGCCATTGATCTATATGAGCATAATAGCAGAAGACCAGGTAAATATGATATCTTCTGGGAAATTGCAGCTCAATTTTTTGAAAAAAAAGCGTCTTGTATTGTAATTGCAGTAGATGAATGCAGACATGATCCTATAGTGCACCTTGCAACTGCAATATCTGTTAATGATCTTTTGCGTCAAATTGAACAAGAATGTCCATCTGAAATACCAATCTCTAGTGTCCAATGGTTACAATTACAGTTTTGGCCCAAGAATCCGACACGTCTTAGTAGTTTACAATTTACTGGTCGTTTGCCTTTAAAATTCATGGTTCAAACACGTCAACTACGTGCTTTTCATCAAGACGCTCACTATGCATCAGCATTATTCCGTTATGAGAAAGTATTTGCTATAAAGTTTTGTGAAATCACAAATTTTGTCTTTATGGATGATAAGCATTGTTGCAAAGTTGGAGAGCCTGGGTTTCCTGTTGCTGCAGTTGAGAGAAGAAAAAAAGTTGTTGTTAGTAGAGACACTACATTTGCAGTCACCGACTATGATTATACTAAA